CTGGAAAAGAACATTTAATTTTTGCCATAAAAATTATGTTAAAGACATTTTGTGGATAGCCAATTGGTTGACCAATATATCAAACATCTTTAAATAGGATTACTAGAGATGAGTGACTTACCAAATATTCTTCTGTGCCGTAGAGAGAAACAAACTGCTCATCATCTTCTAATTCTCTAGCTGCACCGAAGTCTGTGAGTTTGTACACTGACTGCCCATCTTCCCCAATAACTCGCATGATATTTCCCGGCTTGATATCTCGGTGGACTATGCCATTCTCTCGGAGATGATTCATTCCACCCACTTCAACAATAAATATAAAACAAAGAAAACGGTCATGACCATCTGTACGTGTGGTGCACCTGGTTCATGTAATTCACTCATATTCATTCAGTCTCAAATCCATTAATAAAAGATTTTCCATAATTTGGCCCAATGTCATTGTAATTAAAGAAATAATGGATGATATACATATTTTATGTCTCTGGTTTCCATTATAAGGGGAATTTGGGTTTGCTAAAGATTAAGGTAGTCTAAGGAAAAGTCTAATCTCTCTAAATATAGTCAGGAATATATAACAAAGCGGTTATACGTGAGCCTAAGCTTGAGTATAACTAACAAACATTTCCTAAAAAATATCAAACTTTCACCAGTTTAACTTACCCTGGGAAAAAACTCTGCAAAAGTAAAATGGACTCTATACATAAAATAATAAAAATGTAATAGGAAAAGGAGAAAGTGTCAGACTTATTTCCATACAAATATCATGTCTTACTTGCTCTTCCAATTACTGATCATGCTAATTCCAAAAGGCTGAAATTAAACTGTACGGGGTAACTGAGGGTAATGCCACCAAATGAGCCTGAAAACATGTTGGACAGTTGCTATATAAATGGCCCAATTCAACTGATGACAGTAAGTTTCGGGGTATAAAACTCAAGGTTGAGAGTATACTTCTGAAGACATCAATTATCTTTACCTTCTACACTTCCACAAGAGAAAGACGCAATGTGGTTTTCAAGGATATTAGTCTTTACAGAAGCTGACTGCCATATTTCAAAATTGTATTAGCATTTTGAGTTGTAAGAGTACTTTATATTTCCTAGATGCAAGTTCCTTACCAGACAAGATTCACAAATATTTCTACCACTATATGAAATGACTTTTTGCTTTTATGTAAAAGTTTAAATTGCAAATTGAGTGAAGGTTTACAGAGCAGATCATCAACACTTCACACACATTTCATTCCATCTCATTCACTGCAAACCCCTCAATGGGACATGACTTAGCCCACTTCTTCCCTTTGTTTCCTGTGCACACTCCTCCTTTTCTAATCCTTCTGAACTTTGTTCTTGGGTAAATGTTACCCTTTTGATATCAAATGGTTTATTCTAAGAAAATAGGATTTATTATGTTTTAAAGCACAAAAAGTTTTTAATGTTGAAATCCAATTTATGTATCATATATACTTGAGTACAAGCTGACCTGAACATCAGCCGAGGCACCTAATTTTACCACAAAAACTGCATTAAAAATGTGCTGAAAACTCGGCTTATACCCGAGTACATAAAGTAAATTTTTTTCTTGCAGG